CGTCGACGACACCAGCGGGATCCTGACGCAGCTGGCCAGGGACACGGAGGAGCTGGCGCAGTGGGAGCGCGAGGGCTTCAGCCCGGAGCTGAGGCGGTGGCACCCGTTCCCGGCGGCGGTGGCCGCGGTGACCCTGCACGGCTGCTACGGCGTGGTGCTGAAGCAGTACCTGGGCAAGGCCGTCTGCCTGACCGACGAGCTGGTGCGCGTGCTGCACGCGGCGGGCAGGCTCGAGAAGGCCCTGGTGCAGATGGTGGCGGACGACGACGGCGAGCCGGTGGTGCGGGAGGTGGTGCCCTACGACGTCGAGTCCGTAGTGGTCGGCTTCCTCCGGACGTGGGTCGAGGAGCGGCTCAGGGTCGCCAGGGAGTGCCTCCTCAGAGCCAAAGACACCGAGGTGAGCTTGCCTCCATTGATCACACATCATGTTCACGCCCCATTCCTGCAAAGTGTCTCAAATTAACTCTGCCGTGGCATGGCATGGTCACGTAGAGCTGGACCGCGAGGTCCAAGAATGAGCCGTACGCGCAGTCGGCGGTGGACCTGATGAAGCTAGCCAAGGCCACCCTGGACGAGTTCTTCGCGATCCCGGTGAGCGCGAGGGGCGGCATGCTGCAGGACCTCGCCGACGGCCTCGGCGCCGTCTTCCAGGACTACGTCTCCTTCCTCGCCTCCTGCGGCAACAAGCAGAGCTACCTCCCGCCGCTGCCGGCGCTGACGAGGTGCAACCAGGACTCGACGATCAAGCGGCTGTGGAAGAGGGCGGCGGTGGCGCCGTGCCGGGTGCCCCTGACGAGCGGCGGGCGCGGCAACGCCCCGTACCACGGCGGAGGCCAGAGCGTGAGCGCGGCCGGCGGGCACAACCCGCGGCCGTCCACCAGCCGCGGCACGCAGCGCCTCTACGTCCGGCTCAACACGATCCACTACATCCTCAGCCACATCCAGGCGCTGGACAAGTCGCTCTCCTTCTTCTCCGCGGGCGGCGGCGGATGCACCTCGCCGTCCACCACCACGAGCCGGCTCCTCGCCGCACCGTGCTGCCACTTTGACCACGCGCGTACCGCGGCCCAGACGGCGATCGCCCACGTCGCCGAGGTGGCCGCGTACCGGCTCATCTTCTACGACTCGCACCACTCGTTCTACGACGGGCTGTACGCGGGCGGCGTGGCCGACGCGCGCATCCGGCCGGCGCTCCGCACGCTGAAGCAGAACCTGTCGCTGCTCGTGTCCATCCTGGTGGACCGCGCGCAGCCGGTGGCGGTGCGGGAGGTGATGAAGGCCTCGTTCCAGGCGTTCCTGATGGTGCTGCTCGCCGGCGGCAACCAGCGGAGCTTCACGAGGGAGGACCACGGCATGGTGGAGGAGGACCTGCGGAGCCTGAAGCGGGCCTTCTGCACGCGCGGGGAGGGCCTGGTGGCGGAGGAGGTTGTCGAGAGCGAGGCGGAGGCCGCGGAGGGCGTGGTGGCGCTCATGGGGCAGACGGCGGAGCGGGTGGTGGAGGAGCTGAGCATCGCGACGACGGCGGCGACGGCGGCGTGCGGCGGGTCGCCCCGGGCCGCGCTGCCGATGCCGCTGACGACGCGGCGGTGGTGCCGGACGGACCCGGACACGATCCTCCGCGTGCTCTGCCACCGCGACGACGAGGCCGCCAGCCAGTTCCTGAAGCGCGCGTTCCAGCTCCCCAAGAGGCGGTGACGCTACGCTTTGCGCCGCTATTTGCAGCCAGTTGCAGACTCTAATTCGTGTGGATTATGTGTGTGTGGTGTGGGAGACAAATAATTGATCGCTTCAAGCGTATGCAAAAGCTTCTGCACGGGAAGAGAAGTTCGCCTCATATCTGAAAGTTTCTGCTCTTTCTTCTTGTATAGCAGATGCTAATGCATTATCCCAGATGTTGATAGAAAACCTAGGTAACTCATGTGAGCTACGGAGTTTATATGCTTGCATGTATGCACTAGTAAGATTATCATGATGTTTTAATCTTAAGCCTTTTTTTTCGAGAGTACGTCTAGGTGTACCATATTTTTATAGAAGGCAGAAGTTGAATTACAAGACACTACAACTTGTTGCGAACAACAAGTGTAGCAAGCACTCCACACCCAAGCTAATCAAAAGATTAGCCACCACAACAAGTACAAACACAACGAAAAGGGCCTGTCCTAAATCAATCATCTAGCCGCGTCACACAAACGCCAAACACTACAAGGAGCAACAACTTCAGCCGGCCATACTTTGCCAACACACTATCCACCCTTGAATGCCTAAAAGGAGACGGCAAGTGGATAGCGGGACTCGGTCGGCACCGGAAAAAGGCATCCTCTTGGAGCACCGGCAGCTGTGTACTTAGCGCCCTCGAAGATCAACTTGAACCAGCGGCAAGCACCGGAGAACCACCTCACATGACCATAAGGCCAAGTCTCCACCCTCGATGCTCTCAACAATGTAACGACGCCAAACGCCGCCATCGCCGGTCCTGCAACAGACCAAGACTTTCGCCCAGAGACCCCAACCCGATCAAGAAGGGGAGATGCCGACACACCTTGACGATGCCTCTAAGGAGGGAAACGACACCCACTGGCGCCGTCGTCGTCAGCTCCGACTGAAGACGAGCAGGATTTTCATCCAAACCGTCGCACATCTCCCACCCCTACCACCGGATTTGGCCGCATAGTCGATGGTATTGTGAGGTTCCGCAGATAACTGAAGTTCAGAACATGAGAGGCAGGCAGGCAGGTACAGTTCAGAAGGTGAAAACGAACTCAAATGTAATCATATTGATTGTTGACAAAGGGTGAAATAATAGTATACATCATATTGACAATGCCACACACAAAAAATCACCATGCTATATACTTCCTCCGTTCCTAAATACTCCAGATATAGTCCCTTGTTAGATTCACTCATTTTGCTCTGTATAATAGTCCCTTGTTAAAATCTCTAAAAAAGACTTATATTTGGGAAGGGAGGGAGTAGAATGCGGACATGTTTACAAACACATAAAAGAATTGAAAGCTCTTCCTTCATGGAACAATCTCTCACTCGCTCACACTGTATCTTCTTAATTCACAGCTCTTCTTTCTATCCCTCTGCACACAAAAGCAACCATCCACCATTGTCATCCACTGTCGACAAAATACCGCCGGAGTGGAAGGAGATGAAGATCCATCACAACCAAATCCGAAGGAGCGCCATCGCAACCAGAGTCGCTTTGTCAGCCGAAGAACACGTCCACCGCGAATGTGAAAAGACTAGCCTCACTGATCCGACTAACCAGAGAGGAACATGAGCCATCGACCTGCCGGCGCTGCCCGCACCATCGAGATGGGCAAATTTATTCGACGGAGCAACGCTGCCGTCACCATGGAAGCCGCCAAAACCATTCCTAGAGAGAAAAATATGCTTTTGATTCCTCAAGTTCTCCAAAAGTATAGACTTGTCCCTGAAGATTTTTTTGGTATATATTTGGTCCTTCAAGTCTCAAAACCGGGTAAGCTTGGTCCAAAACCTGATTTTTGGGCATGTTGACCGGGGTTTGACCATGTTTGACCGGGTTTGACCATGTTTGACCTATGAACAGTAAGTTCAAAAAAAATAGCAAAAAAATCTGAAAATTTGTGACAACCAACATGCTTGGGTGCGCTTGGTGCACGTAAATGTTTGTTGTCAAATAACATCCGATGATCTCTAGCCAAAAATATTTTGGCTTTTTATTGTGAGCCAAAATAGTTTTTCTTTTTCGCCACGAGCTCCTTGGATGTCAAATAACCACACAAATTTTCACGCACCCAAGCATCTTGCTTGCCACAAAATTTGTGAGTTTTATTATTTTATGTTTTGCTATTTTTTTAGTTTATTGTTCGTCCCTCAAACCTGGTCGACATGGTCAAACCCGGTCAACGTGCTTAAAATCTAGTTTTGGACCAAACTTTATCCGTTTTTGAGACTTGAAGGACCAAATGTATACCAAAAAACTTGATGAACGAAGTCTATACTTTTGGGGAATTTGAGTGACAAAAACATACTATTCTCATTCCTAAACTATCTATAGGCCGAAGCCGAAGCACCGGGATCTCCATCCCTCCCTGCTGCCGGAGCAACAGATGGAAGGAGGGAGATCCCACAGGCTCGCCGGCGGCTGTTGAAGATGGAAAGTGGATCCCCGCGCTGTTCGTCGCTCACCAGAGAGAAAACTGGGTCGCGGGGAAATCTGGGCAGTTGTCCGGGTGGAGGGAATCCTTTTTGTAGATAATAATTGAAGTTCACAACATGAAAAGCATGCAGGTACAGTTCAGAAAGGTGAAAACGAACTCAAATGTACTCCCTCCGTTTCAAAATAGATGACTCAACTTTGTACTAACTTTAGTACATCATACTGATTATTGACAAAGGGTGAAATAATAGTACATCATATTGACAATGCCACACACCTCTGAAATGCAAAAGCTGTATAGTTCTCATTTTCCACTGCAGGGGAAGACAAGTTTGCATGATATTATCTGAAATCTTGTGCTCAGATGTTAATGATAAACCACCTAGGTCCATATTCATGTTGTGAGCTATAGAGCTTGCATGTATGTACAGATCATCATGATGTTAATCTTAAGCCTCCAAGATAGTGTTGTGAGGTGCTGCAGATAACAGAAGTTCAGAAGAAGAAAAGCTTGCAAGCAGTGCAAAATATTGATTATTGACAAAGGGTGAAATAATAGTACTACATCATATTGACAGTGCCACACAAAAAGAATTACCATGCTATATAGAATGCTGACATGACATGTTTACAAACACATAAAAGAATCTCTCACTCATGGAACAATCTCTCACTCACTCACACTGTATCTTCTCTCTTAATTCACAGCTCTTCTTTCTAGCCTATTTCATCATAATTCTGGAGGGCAGTTCACCATTTCCATCAAGCCAAGTTCTGCATTGGGTAAAAAGTAACATCATGAGCGCCACACATTTGGAGCCCGCAAATGCATCAACCAAAGCTCAAATCGCTAAGAGCTCACCTGCCCAAATCTGCTCCTGGTCTTCATGAACCCGCCTCTCGTCACTGAATCATCACTGCCGCCCTTGGCGCCGCTGCAGTTCCAGTAGGCCCCCACGGTGCCGAGGATCGGCATGTCGTCGGGGCTCGGGCTCGGGGACCGCGACCGTCTCGGCGACGAGTTGGCCGAGGAGATCTTGATGTCCTCCACGGTGAGGGCGCCGAGGATGGGCCGGTCCTCCCGGCTGATCGGTGAGTAGGACCGCACCGAGTAGTTGCTCTCCGGCGTCCCCGAGGAGCCCAGCCACGTGGAGAGGCTCGCGTCCACCGAGGCCTCCTGCTTGCTCGGCGTCCTGGGGGTGTAGTCCCAGCTCACCGCCGGCTTCTCTTGCTTCATGGCCGGGGCGGTCGCCGGGTCGTCGGAGAGAGTGACCAAGTTCTCCTTCTCTGAATCCTTTGTCACGGCTGTGTGAGGTTTGGTGGCGTCCTTCCACTGGCTGAAGTTCTCCACCGAGTTGAGCACCTCGGCTGCGGGCGCCTCAGCTGCGGCACCAGTCTGGCCGGCGCCGGTAGCGGCATTGTCCTTGGCGTACGTCTTGGGCGCCGGGAGCAGGAAGAGCGAGTCGCACGCGTCCTCCTCGCCGCGCGCGATGCCCAGCAGCCCGCCGTGCTCCTCGTCGTCGTCCACCGCGCACTCGTCGATGCCGTCCAAATCATCGTCCTCCTCCTCGTCGTCGTCCTCGTACTCGTACTCATCGTCGTCGTCGTCGTAGCAGTCCTCGTAGTCGCTGTCGTCGTCGGCGCCGGCGCAGTTGCCGTACCTGTGGTTGAGCGGGAACGCCTCGGACTTGGCGCACTCGGGCCCCAGCAGCGTCCACGCCTCCTCGGCCTTCGCCGCGGCGCGGCCCTCCTCCTCCTCCGCCTCAGTCGCCTCCTCTCCTCCCTCGGGTATGGGCGGCGCGTCGTAGGCCGTGACGTTGGGGTCGAACGTCACCTTCTTCTTGGCGACGACGGCCAGGCACAGGTCATCGGCCGAATCCCTAATCAACCAGGAAGAAAATCAAACCGAGATCGATCGATCAATCAATCACGAAGCAGATCAACAACGGCCAATCAATCAGTGAGTGAGTCTGGCAGTAACCCTCGATGGGACAAGGAACGAACCTGAGCTCGAGGAGGGTGGCGAGGAGCGGGGCGGCGGCGGCGGCGGCCTCAGCGTCGCGGGCGGCCTTGGAGGGGGAGTGGGAGGGGGAGCGCTGCTTGCGGCGGCGGTGGCGGCGCTCCTTCTTGGACTTGGCGCCCCCGAAGCAGCCGAGGAAGCAGCCCATGGCTGGCCTGGCGCGTCGGTCGTCGGCGGCGAGAAGCGGCGGTGAGGTGGATGTTTCGGGGAGAAGAGAGGAGAAGCGGCAGCGGCAGCGGCAACGGCTAGGAGTAGTAGTGAAGGGGGCGCGGCATTTGGGGGAGGAGAGAGGCTGCCGTTGGGGGAAAAGGGCAGAGCCCGAGTGGTAACGGTCGTGTTGACCCAGCTGGCATGTGACCGTTGGATGGGCGGACGGAACGGATGGGATCCGAGGACGGAGGCTCCTGACCCGTGGGGACCGAGACCAGAATGGGCCGGGCCGTCGGATGTGTGTGTGTGTGTGTGGCGGGAATTGCTGACACATATACGTAACAAGGAAACAGTAAATGTGTAGACTTTAGCTTTCTTGTCGTGCACATGGCAGGAAGTGATGATTTTTAACAAAAAAGAATCAATACACAAAATGTTTGAAAAGGGTGTAAAAAAAAAGGTAGTACTGGGCTCTGAGCAACTTCATCTTGTGCCGAAAATAAAGAGGTCCCTTTTGATGACAGTGAACTGCCCAACAGGGCACACGAATGTTACAAACCTTGCACTTTGCCATCACACCATCCATTGGGCATCAATTCATGCAAAAATAATGTTAAGCGTGCGATGACAGCATCAGACTGACAGACAGGAACATCAGCTAGTTAGTTAACATGCCAAGAGGCAGATACTATTGACAAAAAATCGGTCGCAATTCCAGCCCCGCAAAAATGCCCGTGTCTGATTCTAAGAGCATTTTGCTTATCACACATAAGAGCAAGGCTGCTGCTGCGAACGCTGCGGGTCACTTTTTTCCATTTCTAGTCTGATGTGTGGCGATATCTCAAAATTCTGACGCAACTTCCAGCTGCTTGCGCACTCAACAGATTATATGGGCTCGTCGTCGCCAGTCCTTGCTAGGTCGCAGCCCTGACTTGCACTACATGAGATAGTTTGAGCCTGTTGGAGTGAACCTTTTTTCTATACAAGACTGTTAGGCCAATGCATAACATTAAGATACAGCTCTTGCTAAACACTCATACTCTCCACCTGCGCAAGATGCACCGGAGATTCAGCCCTGCGATATTTACATGACTGAGCATATGCAAGTATCCAAATAATCATCATCCGAGTCACTTGAATCACTGCAAATTGTCACAAAAAAAAATGGCAGAGCAATTAGAGGAAGAAAATCAAGAAGACAAGCAAATGTCAGCATGGACTTTCTTGAACTACCAACATAATTACAGTTCAACGCGCCCTTTTTAGATACGACCTCTTTAGATGCATGGGGTTATTAACGTATTGTATCTCCGCCAAGATACTACGATCCCAAAAGAAATCATTTTCTATGAACACATACCATTGTACCCAATGTGGATTCTACTGTCAGCTGATGGCAGCAGAAAGAAAGACTGATGAAACAAATTATTTATTACGCACCTGCAACTTCTAAAGCCTATAAAGGTACTGGTCATTTTAAAAAATAAGCAAAATTTGGAACTGTAAACTGATCTCCGAGGACTAAAGGGTGCAACAAATATGCAACTGCAGTCAGGTGAAGTAAATATACTGAGAGAGAGAGAGAGAGAGGACAGAGAGAGAGAGAGAGAAGAGAGAAGAGAGAGAGGACAGAGAGAGAGAGAGAGAAGAGAGAAGAGAGAGAGAGAGAGAGAGAGAGAGAGAAAATCATATGCCAGCAAGTTTCACTGGGATAATTAATGTGTAATATACTAATACTGCTCTGATTATACTGGCCCCATGAAACTGTGACTCGAGATTTCTAGAATCTAAATACAACCTCATTAGATGCATGGGGCTATGTATTGTATTAGGTCTATTTCAAAATATTTTAAAAACATCTAGCATCCCAAAAGAGAACAACATTTTCAATTAACACATATCATCGCACCTCATGTCAGTTCTATTGTAAAGCTGATGCCAGTACAAAGAAAGACAACCTGAGGTAATTGAAGTTCTTACAGAAGTATACTTCAGCAGTAAAGATTAAGGTCCACTGTAACTTACAGACTGATAAAACAAACTATTCATTACGCCTCTGCAACTCCAAATCCTATAAAAGGTACTGCTCGTGTAAAAATAAGCAATTTGGAACTGTAAGCAATTGCTACACAGTGCGACAAATGAGAACCCTGTCCCTGGTTGGGGGTCGTATGGAAAAAAAGGTGAACAAAAGAAGTCATGTGCCAACAAGTTTCACTTGGTTAAACTGAACTTACACCGAACAAAGATGTAGGGTAGGGTAGGGTACCATCACGGGACTAATCAAACTGCAACTGTGAAGAACATAAACAAGGGTTTCCTAATATCAATATGAAAGTAACAGAGCTTACCTAAGCTTGTTCAACTAAGATCAGATTACAGTTGTGTAATTTCATGGTTGTTAAAATAAATGAATGTTCCGATGCAGATTAATTTGGACTAATGTAATGGTCTTGTGTAGGCGGAAACAGGGCATTTTCAGGTGAACTGTCTTCAATTCATATGGGGTGGTTCAAGTCCTCAGTCCTGAACCGCCAGATATCACATATTACCTCAATCCGACAATTAGACTACCATATTACTAAACTTGCTTGCAGCGTAACTGAATTTTGCATCCAGAAATGTTACGGATAAGTTCAACATTTCCTGTTCCAATGCAGGAGGCCTTAGAACAAGTTACATAACTACAGCTGTTATGAAATGAAATAAATAAACCATACTGTATTGCCACTTTAATTACTGTTTCCTTGTTACGTATATGTGTCATCAATGCTAGGTTTTTAACGAAGTCTACGTCATGGGTAGGGTAAAGGTCCGAAGAGCAAGGATGGGGCACTAGAAAACAGTGACAGGGATAACCCCTGACGTGGAAGAGTGGCTTCTGAACGGGATAGGTTTCCACTTTAGCTCATAACAGTATAATGTATAATTGCCCAATTTACTGAAGATAAATCATAATAATCAACATTAATAATTACATTTGGATCTACATTTATTAGTTGAAAATTTGAGGAATCAGATGTTCAATAATCTACTGCTAATTAGCATTAACATGTGCAGCCCCACCCCAACATGCATAACTAATAAATAAATTTTGATAAATGACGAGGTTTAACTCGTCTAAATTTTCAATAAAATTTCCAAAAGTCTACTGATACTGATCAAAATTTCAACAATTTGTTTAATCAAATCGCCAAAGTCTACTCTCAGAAAATAAAATCGCCAAAAGTCTACTGATCATGGCTTGACTAGAAATCAGGAACTAAAGTTAAAAAAATAAGGAACTAGCATACAGATTGAATTATATTGCCAAAAGTTACAGTATCAACTGAGAAACATATACAAACCACCTTCACATATGACAGCACATATCATTTGTATCCCTATAAGAAGAGCGTACCAAAAGTAATAGTAGACCAATACACAGTTTTTCTTATAGGCTAATGGAGACATAATACTGCCACTGAGGCCAAGAAATGAAGCAGCCTCATCATAAATTCTCATCCTTTTCCACTTTGAAGGGCTGTTTCATTTCCAGTCCTTGATACATCAATAATGACCAATCTCTACTCCAACAAATGGTCCATAATTGCGCACCAGCACGATTATGGATTAGTTGCCTAAGACTTTATGCGATCATTTTGCAACACCGGTTCGTACTTAACTTTTACGGCACCACAAGTAGAACATGTTTCTGTCTAATCAGTTCACAGCGGACTCGGGGTGAATTTATAGGTTAGGTAAACGACAAACTAGAACTGAAATTATAGCCACATGTTACTTCGGAAGAGTTCAAGGGAAGCATAGACCCCAGTTACTTGAATTGGATGTTGAAAAGCCCCCAGGCACAATAATTCAGTTCACCTAGCTAGCTGAAATTGGCAGATTGTAACACCCCAAATGGATCACATGATCACATGTTCTAAAGTGGTATCCTGGCAGGACACATATCATTTGATCACCGAACCTCGTGACTAGAGCAATCGTTTCCCCCTTTCCTGCTTGACAAGAGACGCCCACCTAAGAGTTCCAACTATCCAAGCAACCCCCTATGCAGCTAATTTGGGTAGCCAAACAAGGAAACATCGGCATCCGCATCGGCATCATGTAGTGCAGGATCAAAAGAAGCATGGTGCGTCTATCTAGCACATTTACGGCAGCACAAAAAATAATATTGAAATGATGCACGGAGGTTGCTTGGTTTGCTTACCTAGGCTGGAATTCCAAGACCTCGGCGAGCTTCTTCCCGTGGGTGTCCTTCCACTGCACCCGCCGCTTGGGCCCCTTGTAGGCCTTGCGGGCCGTGCCGCCCTCGGGGCGCCGGGGCAGCAGCGCCTTGCGCTCGCCGACGTTGTCCTTGGAGCCCCCCACGGGCGCCGAGGACGTCCGGTACACCGCCGCCGACGCCGCCGCCGAGGGCGAGGAGGGAGGCGCCGGGTTCTTGCTGTTGCACGAGTTACTCCTGAAGGCTCGGCGATCCATCGCCGGGTGGCATCAACTCCCTCCGCGCCGCTCTCGGGGCAGGCACCTCCGGCCGGGCTCCGGCTCGGGGGCAGAAATCCAACCGAATTGGATCTTTGGGGCCGAGACAGACGCCTCGAGGGAGGAGGATTCCAAGATGCCCCCAAGCTGATAAACAAAGACGGAAGGGAGACGGGAATCGGTGAATCTCGGGGGCGGAAACGAGCAGAGGAACCGAACGAATCTGCGGACGGCAAGAAGAGCGAACGGACCTGGGGAGTTGGGCGCGGAATTGGAGGGAGATTCCTTCCTTCCTTCCTTCCGGATCGAGGCGAGGCCGCGGGAGGGGGGCGACGAGGAGGAGGAGGAGGAGTGGATTCGGCGGGATTGGATCGGAGGGGCCGGAGAGGAGGAATGGTGGTGGTGGTGGGGGCGGGGGACGGCACGGGGCCGGAGAGCGACGCAGGCGGGCGGAGCCGGTGGTGGTGACGGCAGACCCGATCCCGCGCGTCCTTGGCTCTCCTTGGCTGGCTCCCCCAGCCAAATAACCACCGGACCCGACCGGACCTCCCTCCCTCCCCTGTCTCTTCCCTTCTTTGTTACCATCTCGTTTATTAGTTCCTGTTTATTTATAACTGGTTTTTTTATTGCTGATGATGGGGATATTCTTGTACGTGTATCCAACTTTATTATTTGTAAAAAAAATACTCCCACGAGGGAGCAACATGTTTGAATCAAGATCACCACTCATTGTCAACTTTCCTTCTTTATATGATCCTGGTGTGAATGACACTAGGATATTGTTTGTTTGGTTATAAAAAAAACTTAGGATATTGATTTGATTTTTCAAACACGGTGTAAATGCAATGCTCACGTGGAAAAGGTAGATGAAGGCACACGAATGCGGACCAACGAAGACGGGATCCAAGACGTCAATCGAATCCCGTGAGATCAGCCGGAGACAACTTCCACACGCTGTCCAACGACGCAAGATACACCGTCAGAATGGTTGCTGGGCAAGGAGTCTTCCAGGACACAAATCCTAAACAAACACAAAAAGATACCTAAAAAGGAGCAGGAGCCCTTCTGCCGACCAGGGTCGGGGGCCAACCCACCTCAAGAGACAAGGCAGACCAGCGGTGGCGCCGCCGGAAGGCAGGGAAGCCCTAACTGCCTGAGTCACGAGAGACACAAAGACGAAAGGGTATGATGGAGGTATTTACGTTGTGTCGTGCCTGGTCAAGTCATGCATGTCCGACAGGTGCTACGTTATGTCATGCCTGGTCGGTAGGTGCTACGCATGACAAATCTTTCAGAGTCTTCGATTCTAAATGAATGCGTGCAGGGCGGTGGCGCCGTTGGGCGCCGTGGTGGCGTCGACGGATGTCTGGATTTGGCAAGGATGATGCGGATCTCTATTCTGAAGATGGGTCAGCGGTCCGAGGATGATGGCGGCTTCTGGCTTCTAAAACGTGTGCATGTGATGCGCGCTTTTAGGTCTGCTGCACCGGTTGTTGGTCCCGATACGTTAAGTGGATGGATCGGCAATGACATCGGTTTTAGATATGGGGAGTGATAGAGCACTCCACATTATCGAGCTTGTTGGTGTGAGTGGTGGCTTCGGGTGGCTTGATGTATTTTATTGTGAGACCTTTGTGAAATAATTAATAAAGATAGTTGTATGCATCAATTGATGCAGATGCCGGGGGCTTAACCTCCTTTTCCAAAAAAAATGATGAAGGTATTTACAAGCACAAGAGTACTAAAATATATTTGTAACTTTTGGTAAGAACATGGTGCATTACCTCTTTTTTTCACCTCTATCAGGATTTTTATTTCTTTTATAATGTCCTGGATATGTAATCTAGTGTTTTTGGTGAATATTAAAAACTAGCAACATGCTAGGATCAAGCTCGTGACAGCCATGTAATGATTGGCGATGATAGGGATGTGCACGTGACAAGACCTACACTACCGTGCATCGCATGGAAATCGGATGTGGTCTGTGGTCCGTTTATTGTAGCTCTTCCCTGTTCCAATAAACACTATTGGTCTCACAAGAAAAAATAGCACCCTTCCATTTTATTTTCTCAAATAAATGACGCTATCATGCCAAGTCATTTGGAAGACTTTTTTGTGTGGGCAGTTTTTATTTGATTTTTGCCAGACTATGGGAGCAAAGCCATGTTGCCGCTATTGCGCACCATTTAATTAGCCCACACATGACATCATATCCCTTTTTTCCTTTAGTGGGACTCATTCTCTTCTTCTCACATCATCATCCTCATCCCCCACTTATTGATTCTCAAGCCGACTTATTGAGTTGATCGATAATAGGTAACTCGAAGACGTATATAAATTGATGGCTTTGGTTCTAAGAGGGCGAGGTGGTACTATTTATTGATAATAGAAAGATCTGGGCAATTCCTATTTAGCGCTGCAGGCGCATGTTTCTACTGTTTTCGCAAACCGGCGCCTCCAGCAGCTCTCTCGCGCCTGTAGTTGGGCCGGCCCACATTCTCTTTTCCCTGTTTTATTTAAAACGCAAAAAACCGTACAAACGTGCGTTCGCGTGATTCGAACCCCGGCCACTTATCATTCACTACGCTGAGCTAACCACCCGACCCACATCACGTTCGCGACAACTCTTGCTTTTGACTTTCTTTTATTCTATCGTTTTTCTTGGAACTGTTTCCTTTATTTGTTTTTTTATTTGTATTTTTCCTTTTTTATTGGAACAAATTTGTTCATTTTTTCCTTTCTGCTAAATGCGTGAACGTTTTCTTCAGATTCGTAATTTTTTATTCAAAATTGATGAACTTTTCTTCAAGATCGGTGAACTTTTTTCAAATTTGATGAAATTTTCTTTAAGGTTGATGAACTCTTTTCAAAATTCTATGAACTATTTTCAGATTTGATGAACTTTTTTTAGAATCTAGGAACTTTTTTAAAAATTTCATGAACTTTTTTAAAATTTGATGAACTTTTTACATATTTGATGAAAAATTTCAGCATTGATGAACTTTTTTTTGAAATTGATGAACTTTTTTTCAAATTCGATGAACTCTTTTTCAAATTTGATGAACTTTTTTCTGAAATTAATGAACTTTTTAAAAATTTGATGAACTTTTTTTTGAAAATCAATGAACTTTTTCAAAATCGATGAACTTTTTTTCCAAATTGATGAACTTTTTAACAAAAAAGTTGTGAACTTTTCTCAAATGCGATGAACTTTTTTTTTAAAATTCTTCCAAAATCGATGAACTTTTCTCAAAAAAATCAATAAACTCTTTAAAATCGATGAACTTCTTTTCAGAAATTGATGATTTTTTTAAATTCGTGAACTGCATTAGAAATTTAAAGAATTCTTTTCATTAAGAAATAGACATTTTCGAAATTGTTTTGAAATAACTCCAAAATCTTAGTGGGATGGTAATTGGTTGAGTAATAAATAGCGCGACTGTATTGGTTTTAAGACAATTCACGTTCCTTTTATTCACCGGCTGTCTAAAGGTCTAGTGGTGAGGCAAAGCAATTGTTAACTGTGCGGTGCGAGACCGAATCCTCAAACTGCCCATTTTTTATCCCGTAGTTTTTCGCGAATGGATTGGTTCTGGGCCGAGTATAGAAGCCCGGAGAGGGGGCGCTGTAGGCGCCATTTCCACGTTCGGGCGCCTACATCACCAAATAGGAGCTCCCAAAGATCTGACTAATTGAGTTAGTGTTTTTTTAGGACTAGGAGAGGCCCAACGCAACATGTGTTATGTAATTGCAGTCGGCCTACTCGGAGTGTAGCATGCCCCTTTACCCACATAAAGGACTGACTCCCTGTAGCCCTATCAAAGGAAAAGAATATGGAGCAGACTCCTCGACTACATGGTTTGGAGGCCCAACCTAAAAATATAGGACACGTCTAGCGGGCGGCCGTTGGCCCGCTAGCACTTCCGAGCGGCCGTCAAAAAAGGAAAGAATTGGTCCCCCGATCCCATAAAAGAAAATCCCTCCCCCAGTAGCAACAGACGCACGTCAAGCCAACAAATCACGCGATGTAAGCGGTCCCCATCCCCAGGCCATCATGTGCCTTTCCCTCCCCTCCCCACTGAAGCTCTCACCGCCCCCCTGGCCACCAACTTTTTCTTCCCACGCCTTTTCCTGCTCCCACCTTCTTGTTCCCTAGAAAACAAAAGGTTTCCTTAGTGAGGATCTCCATTGCCAGAGCTACCATGACAGATGAATCAAAGTTTACTAGCAGCGGATCTGGAACAATTTGCTGTGAAAAAAAAGAATAAAGAGTGAGGACAGATCAGAACTTACCAGGTAGCACCAACAAGTG